CTCTCTCTCTCTCTCTCTCTCTCTCTCTCTCTCTCTCTCTCTCTCTCTCTCTCTCTCTCTCTCTCTCTCTGGCTGTCTAATCAACCGCGGCCATAAGCATGCATTCGATGAGTACGTACATATTTACTTACTTTACAGAAGAAGGGCCCATATCGTGTTGCGCAAATCAATTTAAATCATTCGTCACCAGCACGCTGCCCCGCCCTCGAAAAGCGAGGGAAAACACGGAGAACGTCGAGATACTACGTATAACGGTCTCATTCAAACACACGATCGAACGATAAAATCGAAAACGGTCCGTGTCGTTTTCATCGGGGAAGTTTGTGACGGAGGCATTCAACCTTTCAGTTTTATCGGAATACCCTTGTAAAACCGGTTGAATTTCGATTGGATTCCGTTTGAAAAACTATCGGCTCCGCCTGCTTTACCCGCCAACCTGACAGCTATGGCCGATTCGACACGCGCTCGATCTGTCATCGAGAAACGATTCGAGAATCGAAAGCATTTCGATTTTTCCCACGTCTTCGTTTGAAAAGTGGCCAACCTTCGTCTAGAATGCTGCATTGCGATCCACGAACCAAATACGAGATTAAATACCGTCACGATTGCGTAAGAAATGGAAATCGAGATCACCGCGAACTTGCTGGAACAGGCAACCACGACGCAAAACGTCGAACCGTTAAAACGTCACTCTTGCGAACACGAATTGAATGTATCGAAAGGAACGCTCGAGTAGAAATGATTTTCGCGATCCTGCTGACAAGTTGTTCACCGTCCATTGTGCACGGTGCGTTTCGAAATCAACTATCGTCGCAGATTCGTCGGCGAGATTCGATGGAACGAATGCTCTCTGTCATAGCCCGCGGGGGGCACGATTGCGCAGGGAATGCGAACGGCAAATAGGGAATCGTGATAATAGCGAACAGTACTCACCTCTTCGGCAAACTCGAAATCCCCGTCGAACTTCCTCTTGCACTTGGCCCCGGTGAAGAGAACGAGGAACACCGTGGCCACGAGCACCCACGAAAATCGCATGGCTTATTCGTCTGTCGAGTGGGACAGAGAACGCGCCGTCGACGAACGCACCGTGAACCGAGACCGAGACGAGACCGAGACGAGACCGAGACGAGACCGAGACCGAAACTGAAACCGGGAGAGGAACGCGGGTGAAACGCGGAACAACGACACGTGCACGACAAACACCGGCCACGTCTAATCAACTCGAACGGAACAAAGGACGATATCTGCGACGGATACCACGTCGGAAGGCGCGCACGTAAACTTAAGCCGGCGCAGCTTCTCCTCGAAAGAGCGGAAACGTTCAGCTCGACGGTCGAACCAGTTGTGAGTGCGCGAGCGGAGTTAGGCGACGCCGCACTACCACAGGCAACTGGCCGCTCATTGGTCGGATTCCGGCGAATGATGGGGAGGGACGCTAGGCCAGGTACATAAACTGGACTACCCCTCTCTGTCTGTTGCTTTCGTCACGGGTTACATCTACCTTCGACGACTCTCTCCGGTAGCGAGGCGAGCCGAGGCGAGCGCGAGCGCGAACGCGAGCGCGAACGCGAACGCGTGCTACGCTGCGCCAGTCAATACCTCCACCTGCCTCGGTTCGCCTACCCGGTGTTGCCAGTCGCTTTACGAAGGAAAGAGACAAGAGAGAATGAGAGACAACGAGGGTGTGAGAGAGGGAGAAAGAGAGAGAAAGGTGCCGGCCACCGAACGACCGAGAGAGAAGGAAAGGGCGCGGGGAATTCGGCAGGAGGGCACGCCGGAGAAGAGAAGGAATCCAGTCTCGCACCGGATACCAGCACAGAAAGCCGACCGACCTGGCAAGCTTCTCTTTTCTTTTCTTTTCTTTCCATATTCATTTCCCATTGCTTCTTTTATACCTCACTCTTGACTGACTCGGATTAGAGACTCTCTGACAAATGATCCTGAGCCAGTTACGTACTGGAACGCTAGAGGAGGCTGTCTCGTACCGCTATCGTTTCGTATTTTTACCACGAGGTGTCATTCGTATTCAATGATCGAATTGTTGATGTACAATTACTGTAGACGACTTTGATCGGATACGTCTTCGATTTACCGAGAATCGACGCGATAAGACACGTACCGAATCTAGGGCCCGCGGGGTATTCGATCGCGACAGCAGATTCTTGATAGCTAAAAAATATTCGTGGAATTCTGCGAGATATTACGCCGTAAGGGGAAACTGCGACCCGATCCGGGATTAGTGGCTACCTGATAAATGACGTCACATGAAAAGGAATCTCACCTTTTTTTCTTGTTCTAGCTGCGCAGTCGTGTGACGTCGCGTCGCGTCGAATATAAACAAAAAATGAAATACGAATAAAATCTTTTTAAAATATTATCGTAGAGAGCACAGTCTTAAAAGTATATAATATATAATATCGAAATATTCAAGTTATATCTTTGGGGCCAGACACGTGACTACGATGAGACCAATATGACGACATATGTCCTGAAAGGGATAACGGACCGAGTACGGTAAGACCGAGAATTTAAATTCGAAGCCACCAAATGAGATCGTCGCCATTATCGGGCCACCAAGGCAATTTAATGTTATAGTTGGTGGCTACGGGATCAGAGTGATAACGATTACACGGGACGTGTGCTATACTTTTGAAAGTTACGAGTGAAGACTTTAGTGGCGCGGGACACAAGCAGGGCTAGGGGCTTTCCACCATTCCTTTAACTTTCGTTCTTCCTTTGAAGATACTTAGAGACATAAAAGCAGGCCTGCCTGTATTTCGAGTGGAAAGTTGTCGCGGCAATTTGTCTTACTATTTTCTTGCCGCGCGTCTCCTACACTGTATCTTAGCCCACAGCTATTTTCCTCGGTGGAAGTGCACGGACACTTCCCGGGGGAGTAGAAACCAGGAAGACAGCGTCGCGCAGACATTTCCTCCACAAAATAGATCGCATCGCGAGAAAGACAAAGGAGGATGAGGAGAAACGCGGAGAGAACGCGCGCCAGCTACCTCATATTTGTTAAATATTACCTCTCGCCGGGTTTGTATGGCTGCGCCGCGGAACTACTGGTTAACCACGGCCTGATAAAGCGAAATCTCCGGTTCGTAATCTTTATTCGGCACGATTCATTGAAAAACAATCGAATTTCGGAATGAATATTTAACCGGGAAATTATTCAACCTCGAAAAGTCAACAGCACTTTTGGATGGTTACATGATTGTTTAATAAGGATTATGTTACAGCGACGTTTATAGCGATTTTTTCATTTTTTAACTTTTTCCCACGCGAGTCAGACCCGCTTGGTAATTTATTGCGCCGAAGGACCGATTCGTCTCCTCGGTTATGTGTGTGTTCTACAGCGCAATATATGCGCCTCGTTGCCCGTATGTTTAAGCACACTAGCAAACAGACACGAATGTCTCCTCGGAGACCGCTTCCTGCGGAATGTGGTAGCTAAACACGCACCTTCGACGGGATCACGAACTATAAACGATCTCCTCTTTGGAGTTAAAGTAACCTTTAGCAACCCGTGCTCACTATTCCCTCAATTTACACGTTCCAGAATTTCGAGCATATATCGTCGACGTTCATCGAAGATAATACCGGTACGGCTTACTAATAACTACGAAAACAATTTCGTTTATTTCGTGACACTCGGAAAGGAACATTTTAAGGCCAGAAAGGAATCTTCGTTCTTTACACTCGAAACGATTTATTTGTATTACATGATTTTGCAATGTAACAACTTCTAAGAACTAAAGATTCTGTAGTACCATAATATCACTCTCTTCGATGCTTACGGTAGAAGCGTATTACAAACTATGACAATTCTCCTTATACCCCCCAAAAATAAACTGTTAAATAGAACTAAATAGAAGCTTTGTATATGTAGACTTATCTAATAGTACTACATTCAAATAAATAATAAACTAACATACAACCAAGCTGTCATGTTCCACCGTGTATAGTTGAGCGTCCCTTGTTCCGGTGTTCAGAGTGCACGCAGTGCAGTTTAAATATTAATTAGAGCTAGCGTGGGTGTATCAAAACTTTAGAATGAACCACCTCGTGAAAATAATAAACGAGGTATTCCGTTACGTGCTAGCACAACATGCGAGTATGCGCGGGCATCTAAACATGTATCGATGCGAGATATATCTTCTGCTAATCTCACTTAAGATGTACGTAATGCCATTTATCAACTGAAATCAGATATTAACGTTTTTACATACGTTTAATACGAAAGCATCGGCAAAGACAAAGTCTAAAGTAGTCATCTGTTATCGTTTAAAATCTTAAAACGAGATTATAATTTGTTACGTATTTCCGGAATGAAGTAACTTTTATTAACTGCAACGAAATAAAACCATATATAGAATAAAATTAAAGTAACTAGAGTTTGAACTCACCAATCGGCTCCACGGTTTGTGGCTCTCGTGGTTCTGGAGCTTTCTCTAATATTTCTTCAGCAGTTTCCACACTGACTTTAAACGAACTGTCCGTGACTGTTAGATTTGTACTGAAAGTAAATTCATTGTTCAGAACTACGTGTAGACACGCGAACCTTTTTTTAATAATGCAAATTTATCAACCATGCGATTCCTCCTGCAGGTGTTTCCCGTTTGATGAGATTCTGCCAGTGTTGATGCACCTCTTCCACTATGTGTAACGCAAAGTCCCTTGGCTTTGCTTCGCCGTTAAATGCAAACTGGTTCTCTGGTTTACCGTCCGGAATTTTGTAAATTTTGAACCACTCGATTGTTGCTTTCATCAGGCCAGGATAATGTTTCTCAATGTCCGATATATCTACAAGAATATAGCTTGCATATACAATATATTCATCTACGCAAAGATAATTAGAAATTATACGAGTCATCTGCTAGGTCACAAACGTGATTACGCTGTTATCAGTGCACGGAAGTTGATTGAGTAATGCCGTAACATTTGCATACGACAGCGACATATTTAATAATTGACCCATTCTTTTTGGGTTCAACAGTTCGTGCAGGCAATTATGTAACTCATTTTATGGCAGAATACATTTTAAATACAACTCTTACCATTCATCTGTTCGGCCAAAGGATCGTTAATATCGATAACTATGATCTTCCAATCAGTTTCGCCTGGAACCATTAATAATCAATATTACAACAAATTTTAGTAATGCAGAGAAGCATTTGTTTTTGATACACACCTTCGTCGATAAGTGCAACAGCACCAAGAACCTTCGCTTTCAAAACTTCTCCCCTTTTGGCAACCTAGTAGACAAATTTTTAGTTACATATAACATAAATGTAGAAAGAACTAAAGAAACTATGGAGATAGTGTGCTTACCCTGTACCCGATCTCAAGGACATCGATAGGATCATTGTCTCCTTTATAACCAGTAGCTTCATCCAACACTTCTGGATTTTCCCATGTCTGTTGAAAAAAGATTCAAATTAGTTATGAAATTATCTCAACTTGTGTACCCCAATTGCAATAGTAAATTTTGTTTGGAATTCATGTGTGTAGGAAGACAGTAGAATGCCCTTGAACTAAGATTAAAACTTTACAATGGATATGATAAGGTATTATTCACAGAATTTTAATCAGGATAAGCATATCAGTATTTTTTTTACACAATAAGCCGGATATGAAATTACTCATGATAATCCATGAATTTCGACAATGGAACTGATATTGTTTCTTATATTGAATAATATCATGAGATAGGTTGTTCGGACAGCATTGTGTGATAAACAAAAATGTGAGAACAATATACACTGTATCAGTGATCTGATGAATAAGGCAGATTCTTATCTTATAAAGCAATTGTTTTTATACCTGTGGTAAGGCACCGTAATTCCATATGTAACCATGATGTGGGAAGCAATTGGCGACGTATCTTAATTTTCCTTTCTTAATGTCCTGTTTAATGGGATTCAAGGTTTCCTTCAAATTGATCTCCATCTTTGCATTCGTCCATCTTGGTATCTCAACTATTACGTTAACTACTTTATTGGCTTCATCAGCATAAAGTGGAATATCATGCATAGGTGAAATTGGTCCCAATTCATTTCCTATAATACATAAGAAAATTATAACAAATCAAATCCTTTGAATATTGCTGTTGTACCATATGTTCTTCCATAATTTTTCACGATAAAAAGTATTTGAATTTATGGAAGATAAGAGGAGATAACAAGATGTAATACCTGAATATTCAAATCAAAGGTAAATATATATGGAAAATAGAGTACGGGGAGGCATTTTCTTTTGACGCATCTAAAACCTTCAAATATTTTCACTGAAACTAGATTTGTACAATATCAAACAGAATTAATGGCAACTAACGATTAAATATTCATCATCAGTTACATACAATTAATTAAAATAGGATTTTATAACGAATTTCTATTCAAGTTTTTTGAAAGCATACGGTGTAATTCTTTCAAATTACAAGCATGAATCTAACCGATTCGGTTCGAAACTCGGATCGATAAATTCTGAACTTAGCTTTCACTGAAATGAAATGCCAAGCTGACATTACACGACGCTAATTCCACGTGAAACGTGAGAACAGAAAGCAGACAGAGAGAGAGATCTATAACGTTCAAATACTTTCTGTTAGAACGAGAGAGAATCAGCGGGAAAAAGGTCCCGGTATGCAAAATGGAGAGGGAACACGGCTAGTTGTTATGCAAAAACAGAAATGTAAAATAAATGACGCGTCTAAAAGCAAAACGGTGATCGCTTTCGATCGAGTGAATACGCATAATTATGCGGATAATTCGATGAATAAATGCAGAACAGAAATAGAGGAAGACGACCAACAAAGAAATCTGCTTGCACGAGGTCGTCGCGGGTGAAGGTTAGCTTATGTCATAGTCTACTCACTAAAATAAAGTCTGTAGTCGGTGCTGTTCAAAGCACCCCGTTCGACCGTCGTGTACGACATGCTTCTGAGGAAATTCTTGAACACTGAACAGGATCGCGATCCAACGATACTACCGGAAGCTACCAATCTGAGCGGCACAGTCAACTTATTTAAACCTTGGCAACGTAACACGCGCAGCGGTATCAGCGACATTCTAACTGAATCTGACGTGGAGCATGCGCACTAACATGCCCGCTAGCGCGCGGAAAAATAAAAATCTCCTGTAGCCAGTTATCAGTAGCGATAACGTTCACAAACAAATGTACATGTCTCATTCACATGAACACCGATTACACAAATGCAGCGCGATTTGTTAATTGAATCTGATTGGAATACAGCTATTATCAATGTATATGACTAATTCACCGGAAGGGATTACGATTGATTTAAAAAGATCGATGATATTAGTCGTTGATTATCGATTAGGACTTCTATTTAAGCCTTCTTTTAAGTTGCAATAATAAAACAACGAAATTCGTAGTTCTGTATCAAATATTTAATCATTAATCTACTTGAATTAATTGATCCACATTGGTCGTCAATTTGAAATAATAACGCAATAATGTTACAGCTAACTTAGTCGACGAGAAGAATGCAAGAACATAATGCAGTTCTCTTCACTTTGATCATCTGTAAATTATTGTAGGGCCGAGATGATGAAGTCGAGGAACTCTGTGACCTTGGCGTAGACACCAGGATATCCTGCCTCGGCGCATTTGTAACCGTAAGAAACGACTCCAATTTGGTAGAAGGTGAACACTTTCGGTAACATTAGTGGTCCTCCGCTATCACCCTGGTAAAAATTCATTTCTCATTAAAGTGGATCTCAATGAAATTCAATCTTATTTAACAAACATTTTCTCTACCTGGCAGGCGTCTTTCCCACCCTGAATGTATCCAGCACAGAGCACACGGTCGTCGATGACGGCATTCGTGAACTTAGAGTAGGCCTGTTGACAGTCTTCGTTGTTGACTATCGGCAGCTGCACCTCCAGAAGATCCTCCGAAGACGGCCCCTCTGTAAAAGCGCAGAAACATATTAATTTAATTAACTTCATTACCAGAGCATAAAAATCTGTAGCTCCATTCTTTGCTATTACAGATTACTTGGAGCGTTAACGAACAATACTGACTGGTCGACACCGCGCCCCATCCAGCAATGAAGGGATATTTTCGATGGAAATTGCTGCTCCTTAAGGGCTCCTCCACCGGAAGGCAAATGGGGTACACGTGGCCTGAGAAACCATAGAACGTGTTAAACAGGAACAAAGGTAAATCGATACAACAACAAAGAACTCACTGGAGAACGGCACTTCCGCCGCCAGTCTGAGAACAGCTATATCGTTGACGAATCCAGAGGTGCTGTACCCAGGGTGTATGATCTTCCTCTCGATCTCGACGTCGACCGGCTGCGCTCCGTCGTCCACTCGCACTAGATTTAAGTCTCCGATACGAACCATGTAGAGCTCCGACCTGATTGCACAGTGGGCTGCAGTCAGAACGTGTCTGGAAGATATCAGGGATCCTCCGCAACGCCATAAGGGCTGAGCAGGGTTGCGAGAGTTGCGAAACCCTAAGGCTGCGATCCATGGCCAGGCACCTAGATTAATTATTATTATTATTAACTAGCTGTTTATTTTAAAGACGTTCTAGCTAATTTCAGAGATTGATAGATTGATTGTTTCAAAGAGAATAGGCTTACCAAGCTGTGCAGGGATGCCACCGACCACTCTGGTGTGACTGGTGTTGCTGTAGCCGCAGTTTGGCGGCAGCAACGGTCCATAATTGTTCTCCGGAACTACTTTGCCGTCTCTAGGATTGTAGGGACAACAGACGATCGGGTTACCATTTTCATTCAAGCAGAGCGACTGTCTCAGATAGTCGCCGGCTGCGACGCCTTGCTGCTGCAGCAAGTTCAACAGAGGCTGGCAACTTCTGATACCGATGCACTGGCCTGGCTCGTTATTCGGGGTGTTGCATTGCTGACCAACGCCTAAACCTTCCAAAAGAGACCTCTAACTTAAACTTACGTGTCATTACTAGCAGAAATTTAACTGTATGATCAACTGATGAATCACTTCCTGAGAATGAAACTTCCTGAAGTTTTACGACTTTTTGTAAATAATGATCAATGAATATTCAATGTTGCGAATAATTTTACCGTAACGATAGACATTATTTCAGGTCGGAAATGGTAACCAGATTCCACTTATGCTAGGCAGCGACTCGTTTCCCAGAAACGCTCGTTACGAGAAATATATTTACGGATTACGTAATTGCGCGAGCAATGATGCTGACGATTATGTTGCGAATCCGATTTCAGATAAGTAGTCGATACGATCGATCATGCGTTAATTATTAGATATACAAGTTTTTATTGCAGATATATTAAAACGGTACCTAGAAGTCCGGTATTTTAAAATTATTCGAATAAACTACAATGTAGCAGAGAAGGTAATCCCGAGACTGCACGAGAAAAAATAGGATGATGACGCAAAGGCATAGCCAATAATTAATTTGAATTATATACGAGCTGTAGTTGTTGCACGACTACAATGTTTGCCATCATCGTTTCCATCCTGCAGAATCTACAAAAAACATTATATGATCTTGTCATTGATAACTCGATCAATTCCCCTAGTACAGTTTAGCGCTTGAATCAAATTTTTCCAACTCGAATCGTAAGAATCACGCGTGTTATCACGACGCGTGCTACGCAATCATTGACTCCGATCGACCTCTGACATTAGTCATATCAATGTGAACGTTCCATCTCTCGATACGGAGATCCAAACCTTGGTCTTATTCGAACGCCAAAGTAGTTCAAGGTAAAGTTACTTCCAGGTAAAAACCCAGACGAACAAGGGCCTCGGTAAAAATTTCCCTGGCCGGTTTTTTAAAAACAAAAAATAATCCAACAGTGCGTTACTAAAACCTCGAAAGCTGCAATCTAGTTCGCCAACTTCACTTTTCAACCGAGTCCGACCTTTCCTTTTTCGTCGAAGACTTTCCTCGAACGATAATGCTCTTTCTCAATATTTCAGTCGACGTGTTGCGTAACGGTGTTAAATCACGTATTATTATCTCATCTCAAATGACCGGCTCTGTAAGGAAATATTGACTATTGCTGACAGTATTTATCCATCATGGATTCCCCGGGCTATTCTGTTGGCGCGAAAAGAATTGGCAAACCAGTAACTCAAATTTTTCTGTTACAGTTCAGCGAATCGCTGGGAAATGGCCTGCATTTTCCGGTAGGAAGGTGCGCGAAGGTTGTATGACGGCCTGTGCTTAGGCATTCGAAGGGCGAACAGACGATTTGAAACGCAAACCTTGAGCGGAGACCACGAGAACCAACGGATGCAGCAGGCCAATTAACACCAAACACCTAGACAGCATCTTGGATCACACTGTTCTAAAACAGAAAGAAACCGTGAAAACAAGCAGTCGTTTTCGAAGAAACGCGTCGCAGTTGCATCCCAAAATTATATCGATCCGACGCGAGATAATTAATTGCTTCCAACGAGATCGCTTTTTAATATTTCAATAATGTTGTTCAGAAAGCCAACGGCACACAAGGACTCAGAACTTGCCGATATTAATTCAATTAATCATCACTGAAAAATTACTGATACCGCGCACTTACTATGGATCACTGATATTCGGAAGCCCGATCGATCGGTTGACTCGCCGATCTGCACGCGTAAAACTGTCTGGGAACTGTCAAATTAACTTTCACGAACCTTCTTCGGTCGCGTTCGGCGGTCAACTGACAGTTGCGCATCAACGGTACTTAGTTTTAAGAAAATATTACAGACTCTGGCGAGTAACTTGTGTGACGCACGCGCGCTAATTGTAATTACCCAGCATCAGTAGCAGGCAGCATTACGAGGATAGATACGTAATTATAAACATCAGCTATCAAACGATCTCTGTTTTTCTCGTGAATTTAGGGCAGTGATCTTTATGTGGCCCCAGCTGCCGATAAGAGCGCAATATTGGATTAATTGTCGAGCCATCGCGTCTGCAATTAGCACATGCATATGCAAATATTTTCGCAAAAATGCGAGAAGCAATTGTCAAGATGTGTCAAATGTGCATTTGCATTAATTGTTTCCGGAATTAGATACTAGAATATTTGATCGATGTTTCTCGCTGCTGCCAGTCCAAAATTCCTGCCATTTGCGTCTAAATAATCGCAAATCTAGGAATCTTGTAGATTCTCTCGTAATTACGAATTTTTTCTCGTGAACAAGTTGTTGTTCGAATGCAAACGATTTGCATGATCTTGCTGATAAAGATCGTCGATCGATCGTCGTTTGCGCAAACATGGCGCGTACACGCATCGAAATTCGTGGAGACATCAACGCGCGACAGGTATGTATTCTGCTCGGCTAACCACGACATTGAAACGATGAAAATTAGGGTACACGTAGTTCTCTATCAATTCCGGGCAATCGGATTCATGAGTTTTTCGGTATTTCCCCCGTACGTCTGGGAGTTCCCATCATCTCGTCCAAGGTCGGGTCAATTATTAAATACTTCTCGGTATTGTGTAAACTGTCGCGAAGCTAATTTTGCAATCCAATGAATTTTAGGATGTTACGGTACAGCGAGAAGAGGATCCGACATAATAGAGCACCTGAACAAAGGAAAATGGTAATACACTGATCAAGGTCACTCGAAGGTCGCTCTATTACCTTCTAAATGAGCTAAATAAAAAATAAATTAGAAACTAGGAAATGCTTCAAAGGAAAATTTTCTTTCGAGTTGTTAGCTTGTTTAAGTTGTTTCTAATTGTTCATATGTTTTCAAACGGTCGTGTGTCGGTTCGAGAAATTACATAAACCCGCGTTTGCAGTTGCTGTCACTAATGATGAATTATTATCGCAAGTTCGCCGTAAGAACGTACAATAAATGATAGCTCTTCTTTTGTAACAATGATTGATTGCTTTGCTAGATTCATTAGCGGTTTGTTCGCTCGCGAGTCCCATTGTGATACCGAGTCCACGTGTTGATTAAAATAAACTATGTGGTAGATTGGAATTGTACACGACACAGAGCGATAACAGGTGCAAAGCTTATTAAATGATTGCATAATTTGACGTCGAAGAAAACGTGCACGACCTCAACCTCGATCCGATGCGCGCAATTCTTTTTAATCTTCGATTAAATCATCGGACCTCTTTGGATTAACCGTCAAGTAACCGTTCGATTGTCTGGGATCTTAACGTTAACATACCTATATGATTTAAAAAATGATAAAAATAGAATTCAAGAAACATTCGTTGGACTTGCTGTAATAGCAATTTATTTACATCTGATTATATTTACATACGAATAATTTACAATTGTTGCAGATTCAATGATAAATTTGCTTGGTCTAGAATTCCATAAGGTGTTCCGCTGGCAATGTACATACTGAACTATTTTACAATCTATATTTTCGAGTAATACTGTGCACATTGACCTCTTATTCCTTCAATGTTGTAAATTTTACCATAAGTATTAATTCTAGGATATCATCTTAATGGTTCAATTGATATTAACACAGAATACTTTCGATATATCTGATAGATAAACTGTGGATGTTTGTATAATTTTGTTTCGGTGATAAAAGTGTAAACATGCATGAACATCCATAGTTCATCAACAAGTATTATAATACTGGAACGAAATTATAGCTTGCGGGAAGTATATTGATGGAAATTGTTAAAAACTTGCGCATCCTATAGTGCAATATAATACGATTTTGTGTGTGTGTGTGTGTGTGTGTGTGTGTGTGTGTGTGTGTGTGTGTGTGTGTGTGTGTGTATTCTAAGTACACAGGACTCAGAAGTTCGTTGAGGCTAACTATGTACTTTCATTATCACAGAAATTACTTTTGTCTCTTTCTCATTTATATGTGTTTAAAGGCGTCACGTGTGACCGTGAAACGCATGACGCATGCGTCATCTACAGTGAAAAAGGGATTTTCTATACTTAACACTCCCTCTACTATTCGTGTGACATGAAATAATGAATAAATCTCGGAAATGGTTTAATCTGTAAAGAAAAATAAAAAAATCATTAATCCTCGGAATCCAGAATAGAATTTGATTTCCGCGCGCAAAGAAAGCGAGCCCTCCCGTAGATAATATCAAGCAGAAAGTAAAAGTTTGAGAACAAATTTGTTGTAAATTTACTTGCAAGTAGGATTTTGATTATCGTAACTTTCATCCCAATGGCACTGTGCTTCCAAATCTTCCAGTATTCTTCTAAAACAAAAGGTCTCGTTATTTTCTTTTTTTTTTGACTAACATTCTTAGGGAGGAATAAGTTTCAAAAATGCCACAGGAAAAAGTGTAGGCTATAAAGGACCCTTTTATAAAATATTTCTTGCCATATAAATGAGAAATTTCTTTATTTTGTTCTAGTTAAAAGACATTACTTTTAGTTCAATGTATAATTGATTGATTCAGAACGTGCCTGTATATTTTACTTAGATAGCTATCAATAACTTCCTAATGAAAATTAGCACAAAATCGTACACTCTTCTATAAGAGTTTTGAAAGTTTATCTTTGATTATTACGACTAGCGGGTTAGTACATAATTTATTGTTTATTTAAAAAACAAGACTCGATTCTTGAATATATTGCTATCTTTTAGTTTGGAAAAATAAGACTGTATCTGTTGGAAATAAAATCGAAATTGCCTTTATTTATTCTTTGGTAGTGATACTATTTCATAGTATATCAGCTTTTTTAAAATTCGTTTTTGAATCCATTCGATTTAACTATCATATGTGTAATACGAAATATGTATATAGATTTCATCTACAGCCTCTTATATTTCACATATTATCCAACCACTGGATAATATGTCCTGAAAAATTAAAACACCATATTATATTAGTGTACTGTCTCTTACAAATCGTTTTCGAAAAATCAATACTATTTTGATCGAGAGTAATTAATGTCTTCTTTTTTTTACGTCGTTGATTGAAAACGCGACATTAATTAATTTCAAGGGCATACTTACCCGTAACTCCTTGTACCCAATCGACGTTTCTTTATATAAAACATTACTATCGCTGCTATGATTCCCACCAACGTCATCGAGATAGTAGTAGCTATGGCTTAATTAATAATGACAGATTGAGTACAAACGCTCAAGCCAATAACAAAAATTATTATGATCGTTACTCACTTATCATTCTGTAAGCAATTACTGTTACATCCTCTTGATGCTTCTTAAGGCACTTAGTCATATGTGATAAAGTACCATTTACCGCAGGGCACTCTACATCGAGTATCTTACAAAATAGAGGGAATAGATCTATATTGTTAAAAGGTTTCAGTTTGCACTTAGGCATAAATGCAGGACCTTTTGCGAAGAAGAATGGATGCATTTCTCGCGCCGCGTTGTCGTAGCCATGCAAACCAAACTCTGACTCACTGTTTACTATAAATAAACATTGCATATATAATNTGTGTGTGTGTGTGTGTGTGTGTGTGTGTGTGTGTGTGTGTGTGTATTCTAAGTACACAGGACTCAGAAGTTCGTTGAGGCTAACTATGTACTTTCATTATCACAGAAATTACTTTTGTCTCTTTCTCATTTATATGTGTTTAAAGGCGTCACGTGTGACCGTGAAACGCATGACGCATGCGTCATCTACAGTGAAAAAGGGATTTTCTATACTTAACACTCCCTCTACTATTCGTGTGACATGAAATAATGAATAAATCTCGGAAATGGTTTAATCTGTAAAGAAAAATAAAAAAATCATTAATCCTCGGAATCCAGAATAGAATTTGATTTCCGCGCGCAAAGAAAGCGAGCCCTCCCGTAGATAATATCAAGCAGAAAGTAAAAGTTTGAGAACAAATTTGTTGTAAATTTACTTGCAAGTAGGATTTTGATTATCGTAACTTTCATCCCAATGGCACTGTGCTTCCAAATCTTCCAGTATTCTTCTAAAACAAAAGGTCTCGTTATTTTCTTTTTTTTTTGACTAACATTCTTAGGGAGGAATAAGTTTCAAAAATGCCACAGGAAAAAGTGTAGGCTATAAAGGACCCTTTTATAAAATATTTCTTGCCATATAAATGAGAAATTTCTTTATTTTGTTCTAGTTAAAAGACATTACTTTTAGTTCAATGTATAATTGATTGATTCAGAACGTGCCTGTATATTTTACTTAGATAGCTATCAATAACTTCCTAATGAAAATTAGCACAAAATCGTACACTCTTCTATAAGAGTTTTGAAAGTTTATCTTTGATTATTACGACTAGCGGGTTAGTACATAATTTATTGTTTATTTAAAAAACAAGACTCGATTCTTGAATATATTGCTATCTTTTAGTTTGGAAAAATAAGACTGTATCTGTTGGAAATAAAATCGAAATTGCCTTTATTTATTCTTTGGTAGTGATACTATTTCATAGTATATCAGCTTTTTTAAAATTCGTTTTTGAATCCATTCGATTTAACTATCATATGTGTAATACGAAATATGTATATAGATTTCATCTACAGCCTCTTATATTTCACATATTATCCAACCACTGGATAATATGTCCTGAAAAATTAAAACACCATATTATATTAGTGTACTGTCTCTTACAAATCGTTTTCGAAAAATCAATACTATTTTGATCGAGAGTAATTAATGTCTTCTTTTTTTTACGTCGTTGATTGAAAACGCGACATTAATTAATTTCAAGGGCATACTTACCCGTAACTCCTTGTACCCAATCGACGTTTCTTTATATAAAACATTACTATCGCTGCTATGATTCCCACCAACGTCATCGAGATAGTAGTAGCTATGGCTTAATTAATAATGACAGATTGAGTACAAACGCTCAAGCCAATAACAAAAATTATTATGATCGTTACTCACTTATCATTCTGTAAGCAATTACTGTTACATCCTCTTGATGCTTCTTAAGGCACTTAGTCATATGTGATAAAGTACCATTTACCGCAGGGCACTCTACATCGAGTATCTTACAAAATAGAGGGAATAGATCTATATTGTTAAAAGGTTTCAGTTTGCACTTAGGCATAAATGCAGGACCTTTTGCGAAGAAGAATGGATGCATTTCTCGCGCCGCGTTGTCGTAGCCATGCAAACCAAACTCTGACTCACTGTTTACTATAAATAAACATTGCATATATAATAATATATGTATTAATAATTCGAAGCCACGTATCGTCCACTTATGATTACCTGTAATATTGTACGTCTTCTTATAATAATCTATGGTTTCGAGTAGATTCTGGAACGCATATCCCACTTCTGCAATAACAAAAATCGGACCAACACGAGTATTGTTTCCGTAATGGTACTTTTGAGGAATCTCTTCTCTCTTATAGACCTTGAACGTCATTGTTTTTTCTGCAGCTTCTTTCAATGCTTGATAAATAGCATCTGCTTTACCTGAGAGACAAAATTATTTCGTTACCAATAGTAATTAAAGTAACGTTCAACAAAAGTAATCAACGTACCAGGATTAGGAAAAATGTGTAAACCCGGCGAAGTACCCACGAATTTATAGTCAGAACTGTTTATATACTTTGTTAGATCTATTATCCTGTCCAACTTAACAGCTGCCATACCATGATCGCTTAAATGAACAACGTTTAAATCATGCAAACCATGTTGTTCTATTTTATGATGCAAATACTTTGTTATGTTGTCTAATTTCCTCAGAATGTTGTCAAACACAGGACCATTTATCCCATAGATATGACCATGGAAATCTGGTTCTTCGATATACAATATACCAAAGTTTATTGGACGATTGGGATGAATGAACCATGATAACAAAGTGTCTATTCTCTCTTCCCAAGGTGTAGTCTCGTTGAAATTCTGAATGGATATAGGAGATTATAAAATAGTTTGAGCAAAAGTGATAAATTATATAAAAAATAATTTTAAATAATATACATGCGCAAATGTGGGTGAGATTCCTTGATATTCATAAATTCCACCAGGCCACATCATTGTGCCACTTCTCCTTTGTGCTCCTGCCTTCTCGTTAACAGTCTAACAAAAACAGCATAGTATAATTTTATACAGAAAATAAAGATAATATTTTGATTATTCTTACACACCCATATAGGAAGCACTCGGTTGTTATAATGATATAAATTGTAAGAGTATTTGGTAGTGTTCCCAGAAACAGGGTCATAGAACACGCTGTCTACTACACCATGTGTTTCTGCATATAATCCTGTGGCCATGCTGTGATGATTGGGAAAAGTTTTTGTGACAAAGATATTCATTATATAATCTGCATAGGTGCTTTCATGTTTCAATTTCTTCATGAAAGGTGTCAGATTCTTATTGAAGTAGTCATATCTATGAACAAAAAAGAAGGGTTTATTATGAAATATTGAATAAAGAGCTTAAAAAGTCTTACCTGAAAGCATCGTAAGATACCACCAATAGTTTTGGATGTTGCGATATCAACAATCCATATCTGGCATTAAGTAAAACAATAAATATTAAAGTAAATGTCACTACAGCATTCATGATGATAATTTTCTACTAATATGTTCGTTGTCCGACGAAGAACAAAGTTGCTCTGTTTAAAGAACAGTTATTGCACGATTTTTCCTATGGTTGTAAAAGATTTGCGAGTATCGTTTCATTTATATTTCGAAATAAAACAGTGTTTGTGACAGTGATAACTTTGACAGACAATTTATTCGTTTCCGGTTATCAGAAATTCGTTCCCCTAAACAAACTTATCGAATCACGCGCATGAATGTATTTCTGTCGGTCACGTTTCGAAAAATTCACCAAACCACAAAGGCCACAGTTTTCCAGCTGTTAGTCCAACATGACAAGAACGTGAAACGTTTGCCAATCCTTCTGTAGCACTATTTGCCAAATGGTGATCAGTTATTTCTCATGAACCATAAAATTAAAGAGAAATGACAACACTTTCGAGTGCGCGAATCTTAAATCAGTGTACGTATGTATGTATAATGTTATATATTGTAAACTGCGGTGCGCCTAGTGCATGAATTCGACAACAATTTGGTGAAATATTTATTTAATTGTTAGTTGACGCATTTTCTTATCAGCAGATAGGACCAATTACTCAAATGATAACCAGTTTCTACTACATACATATCTAGCACTATTGGAGGTCAATATCGCAATTTTCTATATCACATTATTTGTGATGACGCCTCCAACGTGGCCTCTAATAAAATATGTAGCTCATTATCTCCACAAAATATGTATATATACTATTAACATCTCACTTATTTTCTCGTAAAATATATGTATTATTTGTAACTACAAGCTTTTCCTTGTTCAAAAATATGTTTGCAGATATCCATTATGAACATTGGAAAGTTTTCTTGGTTTTCTGGGAACAAAGCTGTTCCCTCATGAGGATGTTAGGCACTAGGATTTAGAGTTAGGCTACATAATTAACATCGTCAAAATGGGAAACTGTTTTTTAATGAGTTAAAAGAAAGGAAGATAGCATTGAATTTGCAACATTGCAACGTAGTAAAGGAAAATGATATTTTCTCGTACATACCGAGAGATACATATGTACGTATACATACATACATACGATATGTATATATGATTTTCTTTTCGTGACGCAAACGTTGGCGAACTTGTGCCTTGACGTAAGTGTGCGCAGAAACTGAACTGCATGAACTGCACCGAGCAAGGAGTGCACGCGATTCACGCGATGCACTGTGCAACTGACAGTCGCTGATAATACGAAAGCGATGAGCGTTTGATATCAGCTCAGCGCTGTCCGGAGGCCCGCCCTTCTTTCCTATTATCCTTTAATTACCACGTGGAATTAAATACTGATCTCTGAACGCCTATATCAGTTAGATGACGGCGATACGCCGTGTGTTAACAGGTCATGGGGGCCTGTTTCGGCCGCTGCATCTCCGAAGTTACAGACTCCTTATCGTACAGGTTAGATATACGGGATGTTTTATATCACTGAATAAAATTTTTTTCGTGAAAAACAATATTTACCTGCTTCCGTATTGCATTTCGAATTATTAAAAAATTTCACGTTTACTTCTATACATATGTATGACGTAGAACTTGTTCCAATTTAAGGTTTTACCAAAGGCACACCAGTATGTCCTTCCAAGGAGACGAACAAGTTGAGGTATGAACAATTTTAAATAGTTAAGATAGAAAATTTCAATTTTCCTATTAAATAAAATTCTATTTTTTAATATAATATTCCTCTTCGATAGTTTATAGATGACAAAGGAGATGCGGATCAATCTAGAGGATCAAAAACGTAAGGAATTGTGCTTAGCTGTAGGGCAATGACACATTTTTTTATTGTATTAATTGTACGCTTCATTGTTATGCTTCCTGGATAGCCTGTTATCGTTTCTCTCCTTAAATCGATTCAAGGTAATTGGACTAGACTATCAGCATTTTTCTGTAATATTATCATCATTGTAAGTCCATGTATTTAACTGTTAATTATTTTGTTAGTATTAATTGAGTTTTTTCATTGCTACAGTTAAGCTGGTGCAACTTTGAACTTTATATATTAATTTGTTAAGAGTTGTTTAATTATCTGCATAATATATTTGTAGAAAAAACATGGAGTCCCTGTAACATTGGAATTATTAGAAGACGGGGGTTGGGCCAAGGGGAGTAAGAAGTATGCCAGATTACATTCACGAAATAATGCTTCAACAAGGTACTTTTATTAGAATCTATATACATATGCAATAGAAGCTGCAAATTATTTGATAATTGTCTTTTTAGTTCTGGACTTGATACTCCGCTTCAAATTCTCGATGCAAGGATATTAATGAAACAACAAGCATGCGTCTCTTCTACTCCTGGTTCGTCTTTGGACTTGGAATGGGAACACGAAGGTAAAACGATTTCTGTAAGGAAAGAACACTACCAAGTAATAAGAACTTCTACATGAAAGTACTACCTTAGGTATGCCCCTACCAGTTATGGAGGACGAGAACGTCGAAAGCAACGACGGTTCCATAACTCAAACATCGGTTCACAATAGTCAACCCTCTAGCTTGACGGCATCTCCTTGGTCTAGAGTGTCTACACCAAATAGTTTAGAATGGGATCCGATCGAAGCGGATATGGTATGCGTTGATATAGAGACTGAGCAGCTTTTGACTGAGATAGAAAGATTAACAGACAGAGCATTAAAAGAGACGGGCGAATGGGCTAGCACTAGGTGATAAATAATGTAATTATAATTACACAGGATTGTTTGTATTTTTGTATTATAGAGAAAGGATACATTACGGTATTTAAGATTGAAAAGAAAACGAAATACGAAAGATTTTTAGAGATTGAAAAGATGATTCTACTGCTTCACAGTACCGAAATAATATAAAAATATATTTCTATTGTTTCAAGAAACATATACATACTTGTATAAGTTGATACAATTGAGATGGAATTTTATTATTAACGAGAAATGCAATGCCAATGATTCAACTAAGGAAACGTTTTTTATATTATTGCGTTTGTACATAGATATTATACGCTCGAACATTTTGAATATTATGTATTCATTTCTTCTTTTTTGTTACCGTGTAATGGTTGAATTTATATTTTTTATTCTTATTTCGTACAAGTTCCGCCGGACAATAACTTTTTTCCCGTCAAATGTTTTCACATTCTTTCATATTAATTGTAATTTTCTGCACTGCGAGCGTCACTGATCTCATCTTTCTCTTATACAAATGTTTTCATATGGTAACCATAGAATCTATCACTTTGATCTTTTGGAGCACACGTATCTATAGAATTTGATTTCTTTATTCTTTTTTATCAAACGAATTTCCTATAAAAATCGTACTAAAGACAAATCGGAGAACTTCAGGCTTCAAACGATTAAAGAATGCATATCATGTATGCAATGGTATAAATCTTTACATTTGACGAAGTCTGTAATTCACGATTTAGCTTAGATAGGATAAAGGAAGGTATTAAAGGCATATAAAAAGATCGAAATGCATCAGGTGCTATCAATGCAATATATTTTTCGCGGTCGAAATTGAAAGCGGCTTATTCCGGAAACGATTTATTTCGGAGCGTAGCGTATCTTAAATTAACCATATTTTATACAAAACGAGGAATATCTTATAGTCTTTTTAAATAGTCTAGTCACAGTGAAATTTCGCGAGTCTCTGGAAGATTGGAATATAGGGAGGGAGTAAGGTGGTGCTGATGAAATATTAATGTTGATACGTGTTTGCGTGTACAAAACCTGTTTCTACTGTGGTTAAATTACAAACTAATTAGGTTACAATCTTAGATAGACTGTCGATCATTGAGATGAATGAATTAAAAGAAAAAACCGAAATGTAGGCTGCCTTACAATCAGGAATTTTAATTCATCTAATATGGATTAAAGTTAAGATTCCTGTTTACACAATAGAGGAAAACAAATATAAAATTTATAACTGCAGAAGACGCAGCGTTAAATCTTGATTGCATTATATTCGCGGGCATGCTCCGTTATTATTGCATAATTAAATTTAAGATATTTAGCTTACGACTAATTTACGAACGAATCAAAATATATGCAACAATAGCGCAGTTCGTAGTAACGTTAACAATAATGAGGAATAATAATAATAATACTAACTATGTGATGCGGTATATTAATGAAGCAGTGCCATGTCTATGTTTGCACTCGATAGATTTCGCCTCTCATAGTTTATTTATTGTCATCTTTGAAAGAACGAAACATTTTGCTTGAACTGCATAATGAACGCACAGAAGTATCATTTCTGCAAAATGTGTGTGGCTTAATATTGAGTATCTGAATTGTTAATAATTATGTATGCAATGTACCCCTGCGATAACGACTTCGTACTGTTTAATGCCGAGAATATTAAAAAGGAGTTTGTGTGTAAACGACAGAAAAAGGAGATATATAATTGAAACGCTTATAATCTGTTTCTTCATGTGTCGAAGTTAAAACGATAAACGCGATATTTATATTAGAGTTGATACGTTGATGATATTGAATATTATAAATAGCATTGTGATTTAACAAATTTATTTTAGAAGAAAAAATAGGAGGAAGGAGAAAATGCGTCTTTAGCATCTTTCCCTAAAATAAGTTGCATACAAAATATTTGCAAAACGTTTCAGTTAATTGTAGTATTTCTGTAGTTAGTATTCATGCCAAGATAGATGTTTCTGCTTCTTCAAAATTTTAAGTGCTCTAAGATAATAGGGACCAAAAAGTGTTTTCAGTATTAAGTCTCCCCGTGGCTACTACTTTATGCCAAACTGTCTATATGAGTTGCATTTATGTGTACCGTTTCGCTTTGATTCGCTAGCTGTTCTTAATTAATTTCAGTACACGATTACATCTCGTTGTACAAGTAATTAAATTATAAGGATTATTGAAATTTATCGTGTCGATCTTGAAATTGTAAACAAAATTTATCATTGTTGGCTTTAAAAATATCTTTATCTGCGCCTAGTATTAATAATCTAAATGATATTGTTTATATTTTATGTACGAACATTTCACTGTCACTGTGAGTTTGCAATGTGTAAAAAAGGGTAACACTATATGCATCATTTGCTTGTGCATTAAATACACATATTACCATTGTAACAATATTCTCTTATTTCGTAATGATTTCGTGTGGAATAGTAATAATAAAATTCGTTATCTTTATTATGGAATATTCGGAATTTGCATATGCTGATTTCATAGCTAGAAACAAAATTACACGTGTAACAATAGATGTCATAAACCACTATATTTGTATGCTTTAGTAATTAATTACTTTATTATGTCTTTATGTACACGCGAGAACTGATAAAAGAAGAAAATTACTTTATATCCAAACATCTTTGTAGTTTTAATCAACTACGAGCATAACAACCGGAAATGAGTCCTAAAAAAGACAGAATTATGCACGTACAACTAATGGTCCCATATTAAGTAATCAAGTTCTGCTGCTATATTTTCGTTATTTCGTTACTTTGGTAAATTGTCATTAATTTTTAGTAGAAATTAATAATATTTATACGAAAACAAGAGGTACACTTAAACGGTAGAGTTGTTGGTATTATATTTGTACTGCAAATACATATATTTTTTCAACTGGTGTATTTTTTTTACTTTTCATGTGCACAGTTTTGTGAAATACAACATAATAGCTCGTGTAACTTATCTTAAATTTGTAGAAGTTATATATACAGTTCGCCTAACATACAAATTATCTACATTTATATAAACAGTAAGAGAAAAAGAAAACGCGTATAACTAACTAAACATCATAGCAACATAGGATNAGAACGAAACATTTTGCTTGAACTGCATAATGAACGCACAGAAGTATCATTTCTGCAAAATGTGTGTGGCTTAATATTGAGTATCTGAATTGTTAATAATTATGTATGCAATGTACCCCTGCGATAACGACTTCGTACTGTTTAATGCCGAGAATATTAAAAAGGAGTTTGTGTGTAAACGACAGAAAAAGGAGATATATAATTGAAACGCTTATAATCTGTTTCTTCATGTGTCGAAGTTAAAACGATAAACGCGATATTTATATTAGAGTTGATACGTTGATGATATTGAATATTATAAATAGCATTGTGATTTAACAAATTTATTTTAGAAGAAAAAATAGGAGGAAGGAGAAAATGCGTCTTTAGCATCTTTCCCTAAAATAAGTTGCATACAAAATATTTGCAAAACGTTTCAGTTAATTGTAGTATTTCTGTAGTTAGTATTCATGCCAAGATAGATGTTTCTGCTTCTTCAAAATTTTAAGTGCTCTAAGATAATAGGGACCAAAAAGTGTTTTCAGTATTAAGTCTCCCCGTGGCTACTACTTTATGCCAAACTGTCTATATGAGTTGCATTTATGTGTACCGTTTCGCTTTGATTCGCTAGCTGTTCTTAATTAATTTCAGTACACGATTACATCTCGTTGTACAAGTAATTAAATTATAAGGATTATTGAAATTTATCGTGTCGATCTTGAAATTGTAAACAAAATTTATCATTGTTGGCTTTAAAAATATCTTTATCTGCGCCTAGTATTAATAATCTAAATGATATTGTTTATATTTTATGTACGAACATTTCACTGTCACTGTGAGTTTGCAATGTGTAAAAAAGGGTAACACTATATGCATCATTTGCTTGTGCATTAAATACACATATTACCATTGTAACAATATTCTCTTATTTCGTAATGATTTCGTGTGGAATAGTAATAATAAAATTCGTTATCTTTATTATGGAATATTCGGAATTTGCATATGCTGATTTCATAGCTAGAAACAAAATTACACGTGTAACAATAGATGTCATAAACCACTATATTTGTATGCTTTAGTAATTAATTACTTTATTATGTCTTTATGTACACGCGAGAACTGATAAAAGAAGAAAATTACTTTATATCCAAACATCTTTGTAGTTTTAATCAACTACGAGCATAACAACCGGAAATGAGTCCTAAAAAAGACAGAATTATGCACGTACAACTAATGGTCCCATATTAAGTAATCAAGTTCTGCTGCTATATTTTCGTTATTTCGTTACTTTGGTAAATTGTCATTAATTTTTAGTAGAAATTAATAATATTTATACGAAAACAAGAGGTACACTTAAACGGTAGAGTTGTTGGTATTANATCGATTAAATCAAAAATATTTGGCAAATCTTTTTTACAAACATAGCATAATCATTTTCTCTAGAAACAAAATATAAGAGTATTATAAAAGCTTCGATATACAATTGAAGTATATGTATATGCGTAAATGCAAAATAGCTCTGCTTTAAGTACTATAACGATAAATATTCCAAATATACATTTATCAAAATACTAAAAGAATCTCGAAGATAAATAACGATCGATAATTTCGATCTCATTGCNATCGATTAAATAAAAAATATTTGGCAAATCTTTTTTACAAACATAGCATAATCATTTTCTCTAGAAACAAAATATAAGAGTATTATAAAAGCTTCGATATACAATTGAAGTATATGTATATGCGTAAATGCAAAATAGCTCTGCTTTAAGTACTATAACGATAAATATTCCAAATATACATTTATCAAAATACTAAAAGAATCTCGAAGATAAATAACGATCGATAATTTCGATCTCATTGCCTAACAAAAACAAAGTAATTTTTCGATTTAGATTTTTCGTAGCAATAAAGTAGATATGTACTAAGGTGGATATATCGATGTAGTCGTATCTCTGCCATATACTGTGTTCTTATGGGAACCAGATTATCTCTAGCATGTATAAATCTGTCACATGTTCCTAAGTTTAAAAATGCTATCCATAAAATGTATATAAAATTTACTTCGTCTCGTTAACATACTTACAAGTATAACGTTTGTTACATTTCGAATAATTTAAACAAGAAATAGTCGCCGCAAAACGAGGAGAATTATCGCAGACACTAGCGAAGCGATCAGAATGCTCCAAAACAAATCGTTAGAAGATGACATTGTCTCTACTTGTTGATTTACTATGACATCGGATTGCTGTCGATCCTGATTTTCTGTAGAAGACGATTCGACGTTACGTTGTCGTAGCTCGTTTTCCGGAGTGCTCTCTGCGTTGGTCATGAAACTCGAATCCGACGAGGGCGAATCATCAGCCTAAAACCCACAGTCCTTTAAAAAATCTTCAACATTACAAAAGTTCATACAATGTTGCTGTATGTGCACCTTCAAGGCAATTGTATCTAACATTGTCCGTTCTTCTTCCGTAATAGGCGTTTTAGCTTTAGTTTTGGACAGCAGATTGACCACCTTACCGCAAGTCTCGCATTGCCAATTCAAAGACCTGTAATAGAGTAATATGCTCAGCAAATACTATAGTAAATCTGCTGTTTATGCTCCTCCGACAATACACATTACTTTTTCGCGAGTTTCTGTCTCTCCTCGTTACTGTAATCTAAAGAACCGATTGTCCCGTTCCCTGGTGTTGGCATAAAAGCGATCAATGCCAATAGAGCCGTTCTGATGCTCCAAGAGGGCTGCCACGTTTCCGGATGATGTCCAGAGATACTGAGACATATCTTTTTGTTGATTTCAAAGCGGCCGTTAGGCTGAAAGTAACGAATACCATCGGTGAAGACATTACAGATGAACAAATTATCTCGTTGAAATTAAAATTTCCCACTGTTAATAATATAATATTCGGTGGTTTCATGGGGTATTCTGGTGGCAGTAGGATTCTACCATGGTAGACACCACCCTCGAAATCTGTCGACGGTGGTCCTTGCACCGTGAAATGCCATTCGAACAAATTATCCTCCAACGGTGAAGCACAATACTCCTCCGTTGCCTCGTGCAGCTCTTGAGCTTCTCGCATTAGTCTCTTCACAGCTGGAATTTAAATATTCAAATAGTTGATTAATAAAACATTATATCGTGCATTTAGCAACAGAGAATTATAGCATGAGAATCGAGTGGTGAACGATGTTCGATTAACATTTTTGGCCGCGGAAACGTTCGTGCATAGATTCGATGTTATGAACGTGTCGCGGACCGAACAGATTAGAATTAAACGGTGACAATTTCTTAACGAGTGACAAGGACGCGTTTGATGACACGTATCGAAAGATAACGCTAGGCTACAAGGTATTCTACCGAAAGAGAGAGACGAAGAGAACCGAATACTAGAAAATCGGTTCGTCCGAATTATATGATTCTGCTGGCTAACAAATACTGATTTTGGTTTATTGTTGCGAGCTCACCGGGACTTTTGGCGTTGTATTTCCCTTCAAATGACATTTTCGAGAGCTAGACACGGCCGCAGGTTAAAAGCTGTCGTAAAAATAGTACTGCTATCTGTCTTGTCAGATGACTTCGTTGCACTGACGTAGCCAGTCGCTTTTGTGCATTCTTCACATCTTTTTCCTGACCACCGCGCCCAGACTATCCGAAATGGAATTATGTAGACGCTCTCCGAACGTTACGGCGACGAACGTTAATTTTGACGTGGCCAAATAGGAGCGGCGGCTCATGAATCGCACAAAAAATAACGTGAAAGTGGCCGCGTTTATCGTATGTACGCGCGCGCGCACATCTCGGCCCCGGTTTCTTGAAGTTTGCTTGAAAATTGCATCGAAAATGCTTGCATATCTATCGGCGGCTCGGTAATTATCATCGCAAACCGACAAGTCGCCTTTTACACTGGTTACTTCGTCATGAATAATGCGTTTCTAGCACAACCGTCACAGGAAATACAGAGACAATATGCAAATTTCTTTGGACTGCCGGTCTTATCAATTGATATGCATATATGTATATATATAATTAATTCGTGTATAATAAACAGTCAGATAGAATAATGTCAAGTCGGCATTTTCCACTACTGAAAGTATATGTTTAAACAATTATAAAACGTTACTTATTAGGCATATTACAATTGTCTTTTATGTAATCTGCGTAGATTTAAGCAGTTACGTATTCGTGGAAATTATTTATTCTTTTGCGAGATAGTAAAACGCGTAAGACGAGGAGAGGAAAATTGTATCGCCAAGAGTATGACTAATATAACTTGATGTAATATAGTTCAAGAAAATAAACTAAATAAATATGCCTTTTTTACGAAAGATTATTTAATACCCTTCCTTACACCTATACCACATAAAAATCTGACAAAATCGCAAAATAGAGAGATACTTGATAAAATAACAATTCAAATTAAGAAAAATGAATGGTGGCGACATCTAGTGGAGGATCATGAAAACACGAAAATAGAAAAACTTTAATATCTCAGAAATTACATATCCGAAATTTATGTTTCCGGTCAAAGAATGATCATAGAGAACACGTGCAACAATGAAACACCATAAACTCCATACTTATACCCCATTTATGATTTTGAAAAAGTAGTACACCAACAAGCATTTGAAATACTATCGCCACGCAGTGGTGAAAAGGTCGTACTAAAAATTGCATTCCAGTCATCAGGGAACTAAACAAACCTCTGGAAGAAGAATTGATAACTAATTAATTTGTTAAGAATTCTGTCTAAAACTATATTATGTCGGTGTGCGTAAGAATTCACCTTTAAAATCGTCAAAGTGTACCAGTGTAAACCAGAAATATCTATTATGTGTTATGTGGCGATTTTAATGTACAAGTGGCGCCATCTAGCGTTACGGATTTTCGAGCAAATTTCCCTATATCGCAATGAGCAAGACAAGGACAGAGCTAGTGTGCGACAAGGACAGAGTGGCGCCACCAACTTTTTAGAAGCGCTTCGAATTCCCTGGTAAGAGGTAGGGACACATGAAGAGATGGAGGTATCCGACAAGGACAAACTTATGCGTTTTTCGGTACGAGAGAGAGACGCAGATAGAGCTCCTCGGCAGACCCGTGAAATCGACAAATAATTCGTTAATAACTCTCTTATCATTAACAATCGATGAATATTAACTACTGTGGAATATAGAACGAACATTCAGCTATTTTCCCATATGGTTTTTAATCGAATCATGTGCCTAATTAAATAGTTATTAACAATTATTCAGACCCGTGTCACGGAATAACCTCAAATAATTTGACAGTTACACAGTAAATAATTAATATCTAACTTCCGCGGCATAATTTATGAACTTTTAAGATTGAAGAATCTAGATCGAAGTCTTGGCTACTATTTTAGTACAGTTTTGTGCATATTTGATTTCTAATTAGTTAGTTATTAACGATTTTTAGAGGTATGACGCATCGGATACTCGAAAGTATCAGGAACCGTAACAAACAAAGTTAGTGGCACGTTTCAAGCTATTGCTGTCCTTGTCGCACCATCGTCACCTCTTTGTCTTACACATTGTAGGCATTGGGGAAATAGATATCCTGATGAAAAATTGTTAATAACTAATTATCGAGGAATAATTTATAAACATTTGCAATCGAAGAATGTAGTGCAGACCTTTAGCAACTTTTACGTATAGTTTATAGTCCGATTATTACACAACTTGGAAAGTTATTAACAATTTTCCAGGACAAAGTCTAAAACATAACCTCGATAATTGCGACAGTTGGATATTTTATGATTAATATCTAACTTTCAAGGCGTAATTTGTTAACTTTTAAGATTAAAGAATGTAGATCGAAGTCTTGGCTTCAATTTGAGTACAATTTTGTGCATATTTAAATAATAATTAGTTAGTTATTAACGATTTTTAGAGGAACTTCGCAACGGATAGCGAAAGTATCAGGAGCCGTAAGAAAGAAAGTTAGTGGCGCGTTTCATATATTGCTGTCCTTGTCGCTCCACATCGTCACCTCTTTGTCTTACACATTGTAGGTACTGGGGAAATAGATATCCCGATGAAAAATTGTTAATAACTAATTATCGAGGAATAATTTATAAACATTTGCAATCGAAGAATGTAGTGCAGACCTTTAGCAACTTTTACGTATAGTTTATAGTCCGATTATTACACAACTTGGAAAGTTATTAACAATTTTCCAGGACAAAGTCTAAAACATAACCTCGATAATTGCGACAGTTGGATATTGTATGATTAATATTTAACTTTCAAGGCGTAATTTGTTAACTTTTAAGATTAAAGAATGTAGATCGAAGTCTTGGCTTCAATTTGAGTACAATTTTGTGCATATTTAAATAATAATTAGTTAGTTATTAACGATTTTTAGAGGAACTTCGCAACGGATAGCGAAAGTATCAGGAGCCGTAAGAAAGAAAGTTAGTGGCGCGTTTCATATATTGCTGTCCTTGTCGCTCCACATCGTCACCTCTTTGTCTTACACATTGTAGGCATTGGGGAAATAGATATCCTGATGAAAAATTGTTAATAACTAATTATCGAGGAATAATTTATAAACATTTGCAATCGAAGAATGTAGTGCAGACCTTTAGCAACTTTTACGTATAGTTTATAGTCCGATTATTACACAACTTGGAAAGTTATTAACAATTTCCTACGACAAAGTCTAAAACATAACCTCGATAATTGCGACAGTTGGATATTGTATGATTAATATCTAACTTTCAAGGCGTAATTTGTTAACTTTTAAGATTAAAGAATGTAGATCGAAGTCTTGGCTTCAATTTGAGTACAATTTTGTGCATATTTAAATAATAATTAGTTAGTTATTAACGATTTTTAGAGGAACTTCGCAACGGATAGCGAAAGTATCAGGAGCCGTAAGAAAGAAAGTTAGTGGCGCGTTTCATATATTGCTGTCCTTGTCGCTCCACATCGTCACCTCTTTGTCTTACACATTGTAGGTACTGGGGAAATAGATATCCCGATGAAAAATTGTTAATAACTAATTATCGAGGAATAATTTATAAACATTTGCAATCGAAGAATGTAGCGCAGACTTTTAGCAACTTTCACGTATAGTTTGTAGTCCGATTATTACACAACTTGGAAAGTTATTAACAATTTTCTACGACAAAGTCTAAAACATAACCTCGATAATTGCGACAGTTGGATATTGTATGATTAATATCTACCTTTCAAGGCGTAATTTGTTAACTTTTAAGATTAAAGAATGTAGATCGAACACTTGGCTACAGTTTGAGTACAATTTTGTGCATATTTAAATAATAATTAGTTAGTTATTAACGATTTTTAGAGGCTTGACGCATCGGATATTCGAAAGTATCCGGAGCCGTAACAAACAAAGTTAGTGGCACGTTACAAACCATTGCTGTTCTTGTCGCACCATCGTCACCTCTTTGTCTTACACATTGTAGGCATTAGGGAAATGGATATCTTGTTCAGAAATTGTGAAATACTATTTAATTAACAATCAGATAAGCACAAGACGGCCCCAGGAATGTAGCTAAGACATCATTCTATATTCTTCAATCATAAAAGTGCCGAAATTGTAGTCTGAATATGTACGAATATTAATTATTCATTGTGCACCTGTCGCAATTGTTGAGGTTAAATTTTAGACATTGTCATAGTAAATTGTTATTAACCTTCCAAACAATGTAATAATCGAACTGTAAACTATACGTGAAAGTTGCTAAAAGTCTGCGCTACCTTCTCCGATTGCAAATGTTTATAAATTATTCCTTGATAATTAGTTATTAACAATTTTTCATCAGGATATCTACTTCCCCAATGCCTACAATGTGTAAGACAAAGAGGTGACGATGGTGCGACAAGGACAGCAATATATGAAACGCGCCACTAACTTTCTTTCTTACGGCTCCTGATACTTTCGCTATCCGTTGCGAAGTTCCTCTAAAAATCGTTAATAACTAACTAATTATTATTTAAATATGCACAAAATTGTACTCAAATTGAAGCCAAGACTTCGATCTACATTTCTTAATCTTAAGAGTTAACAAATTACGCCTTGAAAGTTAGATATTAACCATACCATATGCAACTGTCGCAATTGTCGACATTATATTTTAAACTTTGTCCTGGAAAATTGTTAATAACTTTCCAAGTTGTGTTATAATCTGACTATAAACTATACGTGAAAGTTGCTAAAGGTCTACGCTGCATTCTCCAATTGCAAATGTTTATAAGTTATTCCTCGATAATTAGTTATTAACAATTTTTCATCGGGATATCTATTTCCCCAGTGCCTACAATGTGTAAGACAAAGAGGTGACGATGTGGAGCGACAAGGACAGCAATATATGAAACGCGCCACTAACTTTCTTTCTTACGGCTCCTGATACTTTCGCTATCCGTTGCGAAGTTCCTCTAAAAATCGTTAATAACTAACTAATTATTATTTAAATATGCACAAAATTGTACTCAAATTGAAGCCAAGACTTCGATCTACATTCTTTAATCTTAAAAGTTAACAAATTACGCCTTGAAAGTTAGATATTAATCATAAAATATCCAACTGTTGCAATTATCGAGGTTATGTTTTAGACTTTGTCCTGGAAAATTGTTAATAACTTTCCAAGTTGTGTAATAATCGGACTATAAACTATACGTGAAAGTTGCTAAAGGTCTGCACTACATTCTTCGATTGCAAATGTTTATAAATTATTCCTCGATAATTAGTTATTAACAATTTTTCATCAGGATATCTATTTCCCCAATGCCTACAATGTGTAAGACAAAGAGGTGACGATGGTGCGACAAGGACAGCAATAGCTTGAAACGTGCCACTAACTTTGTTTGTTACGGTTCCTGATACTTTCGAGTATCCGATGCGTCATACCTCTAAAAATCGTTAATAACTATCTAATTAGAAATCAAATATGCACAAAACTGTACTAAAATAGTAGCCAAGACTTCGATCTAGATTCTTCAATCTTAAAAGTTCATAAATTATGCC